ACACACACACACACAGGCACTCACGCACACACACAGGCACAGGCACACACACACACACACACACACACACACACACACACACACACACCGTACCACGCCACCCTCTTACAGCCCCTCGTCCTCAACCCCCCCCCCCTTGCAACACCTCCGAGCATGCCGCGGGTCTGCAGGAGGAGGAATCCGCGCTTGATGCCGTTGATGGGTGCGCTGATGGACTCATCATCGAGATCAAGCGTCTCCGATATGAGCCGCTCACTGATCTCAAGCTGCTCGTCCCCGGCCGCGCGAATGCACTCGACGGCGCTGGCAGCGGTGTCAACCACGTCCTCGTGGTCCGAGAGCGCAGCACGACACTCGCTGCTCACCGTGGCCATCGACTGCATGAAGCCAACAACCTGCAGTTGCGTTTGGATAGGGGGGGGGGAGGAATTGGGATATGTTTGCAGGGGCGGGGAAGGATCGCGATATCGGGGTGTGAATATGAGATGGAGGCGGAGGGACGCAGAGAAGCGGGCGGCACACGACGGCACGCACGTAAACACGTATGAAAATACACGTACGTACACGTACGCACATATGGAAATGCACGCACACACATGAACACACATGTACACACATGTACACACATGTACACACATGCACACACACACACATGCACACATGCAAACATACACACGCACATGTCCGGCGATGACGCCCTTTGACAGCTGGAAGAGGTTGAGGTACTGCGCATAGTGCATGCACGACCGCGCCCATGACTGCCTGAGGGAGGCAACTTTGGCCTCGTGGTCGCTCAGCTCCGCGTCGCTCTTGCGGGCCGACGCGCCAAGAAACTTGTCAAGCTGGGAGAAGTACTTGTCCTGGGTTTGCTTGCGCTCCTCGCGCAGCACCTTGCCTTGCTCCTGCAGCTGTGTTCGCTCTTCGTTGATGCCCTTGAGCACCTTGCTTGCAAGCATGTGCACGTGCATCTTACGCCCTTGCTGCGCCGTGCGTGCGACGTCTGCCAGCTCACGGCACGCATCGCCTGGAGTGGGAGGGGCAGCACGTTTGACGGGATCACGTCAGCGTGGTGGGTGGGGGGAAAAACGCGCAGTTCAGGTGTTGCGCGCGCGGTGTGTGTGTGTGTGTACGTGTGTGTGTGTATGTGTGTGTGTGTGTGTGTGTGTGTGTGTGTGTGTGTGTGTGTGTGTGTGTGTGTGCGTGTGTGTATGTGTGTGTGTGTTTGCAGTGCCAGGCTTCCCAACAGATCAACAATGATGACGACGCAGTTGCACACACGATGACACAATCGGCTCCTTTCCATCCCGAGATGCACGTACACGCGCAGGCATTACCAAGCTGAAGGGAGTTTGCGTGTGCGGTATCCTTGTCCAAGGCTTCACCGACATGCAAGAAGACCTTTGACACGGACTCGTACGCCTGCTGCAGCTCTGGGCACACGAAGAAGCAACACCATCGATCAATCAATCACACAGGGTGATGAGGAGTGTGGTGATGAAGAGTGTGAGCTCCAAGCAATCACAGACAAGCAAGTAGGCAGACCAATACGCAGACCGGCAAGGCAAGGCAAGGCAAGGCAAGGCAAGGTAGGCAGACCGGCAGGCAGGCAGGCAGGCAGGCAGGCAGGCAAGCAGACACACACAGACACAATGCAAACACACACACAGACACAGACACACACAGACACACACACAGACACAGACAGACACACACACAGACAGACAGACAGACAGACACACACACACACACACACACACACACACACACACACATGCAAACATACACACACTACACACCCCCACACACACATGCACACACTGCCCGCACCTCTGCTGCGATGACTTTGCTGATGGCGGCATCCAGGGCATCAAGCTGGGAGATGTGTGCCTTGACCCCCTTCTCCACTCGCCGGAACGCGTCATCCAGCCCTGGGCCACCCTGCCAGCACTGCCGATACTCAACCAACTCCATCGCCTTGTGCGTGCAGGTGCTGTCCTTCCTTCGTTGTTGTCTTCCTCGCTGTTTGTGTGTGTTTTTCTTGGAGGATATTGATGATGAGAGTGCACGCTTTCAATTCCCTCACTTGTGCGTGCATGTGTGAGTGAGTTTGTGTGTGTACTGACATGAGTCCACATCGTTGCTTCTCTTCACCCAGCACCCACACCCACATCACACATCACCCTCATTGCAACGTGTGCCGCGGTGTGTACGCTCTAATGTCAGGTTGCATGCGACACACGCAACACAAAGACGACGACGACGACGACACACGCGCAGCAGACGCAGGCACAAAGCGCGGGACAGCAACATAGCAGCAGGGTCAACATCAGGCACACGGCGACAACAACAACACCAAGCGCGGTGCAAGCATGCGTGTGTGGATGCATGAGCGGACGCGACTTTGAGTGCGCCCGCACTACACTACACACACACACACACACACACACACACACACGATTACTCTACACCCACAATCACAGACGCACTCACAGCAAAGCAAACAAACAAGCCAAGGCGACAAACAGCAAGGGCAAATGTGCTTGCTTGTTGCCTGCTTGCCGCATCATGTGCTTGAATCCGCGGGACGTAGATATGCATGAGAGAGAGAGATGGGTGAAAGGGGAAGGAAGGGTGGATGGAAGGAAGGATGGCAGCTCAGACGTGGCTGGCAAGGTCCTCCAGCAGCTCCTTGACGTGCGGGCGCTTCGTCTCCTTTGCAAGGCGAAGAATCTCCTCGCGGTCCTTGGTGATCTCGGCCTGCAATCGGCAGCGACGTGGTGGTGTCGGCGGTGGTGGTGAGCGATGGCGGGACGTGTCAGGGGATGACGAGGCGGATGAAGCAGAAGATGTGTGAGTGTGTGTGTGTGTGTGTGTGTGTGAGTGTGTGTGTGTGTGTGTGTGTGTGATATGGCGGGTCGCAACAACACATGGCCACAAAGGAACACAGACACGAAACATACCAGACAGGTACACACACGCCAGAGCACATGCGCACCAACAAACATATGTACAAACAAAGAGACACACATACACATACACCAACACACACACACACACACACACACACACGCGCGCGCACACATTCACACGGCACCTTCTCCTTGAGCTTCATCTGGCGGATCTTGGCCTCGTGCTTGCGAATGTAGATGGTCTCCTCAGCAAGCTCCTTGTCGCTGAACTGTAACGGTCGGAAAATGAAGATAAGGAAAACAGCAGCGGGTAAGAACAAAGGGAGAGGCATGCAAGGAGTGAGACTAGAGCGAGCCAAAAAAAAAAATAAGGTATGTACATGCATGCGCGCACGAGTCGAACACACGCACACACACACAACCACGTGACGACGCAGACGAAGCGAAAGCACAACAACACCAGGTGAAAGCGCAACAATACAACACACACACACACACACACACACAAACCAGCACACACAAAACAACAAAGCACACATAAACCAGCACGCACAAACAACAAAGCACACATAAACCAGCACGCACAAACAACAAAGCACACACAGCACACACACACACACATACACCCATATGCACACTTACGCCAGTGCCCTGGACGGAGCGGACGGCGGAGGCGGCGTGCATGGCGCGGGCAGGGGCCGCAAGGCGGACAAGGCGGGCAACACGGCACAGAGACATGGCTGGTTGGTGTGAAGAAATGGGAGAATGTGATTGGAATGAAGGAAGGGGCTGGTTGGACTGGTAACCGCTTGCTTGCTTGGTTGATATCTCGATCGGGAGCTGTCACACAGCAAAGCAAGAAGGTGAAGAGAAACCAAATGGAGCAGAACCAAAGGAAGAGGAAAAGAGAGGAGAAGCGCAGCAGAAGACAGAAGAAGAAGAACCGTTAACGTTCACATCACCACAACGTAACGTTGATTGGGGGAGAAGGAAAGGCGGGGAACAACGAGACACGACAACCATGTGAGCTGTGAACGAAACAAAAGAGCAAAGATGTATGTGAATCACCAAACAAATACCGCGTGTGTCTCTCTATGCGAGCCTTTCACACACACACACACACACACACACATGCACACACACACACACACACACACACACACACATGCACACACACATGCACACACACACACACACACACATGCACACAGACACACACTATCACGGCCAGCAACCCCATTCCCACATCTTGCTTGCTTCGTGTGCTCTCACTGCCCGCCTGACCTGACGCAAAGAAAAATGAGCAAGTTGCCAATTGCAAGCGGCTGCAATTTGCAAATCCAGGCTTGACGCCAACAGACGAAGAAGAAGAAGAGGAAGAGGACAACAACCAAACAACCCAGCCACCAGCAAACAACACGCAAAACAACAACACACAACACACGCACAACACACGCACAAACGCACGCGCCTCCCTTCTCCTCTCCAGACGTAGGGTTGGATGGGGGGCTTCTAAGCAACTGGTGCGCATCCCCGCTGGCTGGTTGCCTGTGGCTGTGGCTGTGTTGTTGAGCTGAGCGCAGCGGGCGCGCAACAACACACGGGCGCCAAACAAGAGGAGGACGAAGGAGAAGAAGGAGGAGGACGAGGACGAGAAGGAGGAGGAGGAGGTAGAAACAGAAGAACACCAACAACAACTAGACAACTACGCACACAGCAACAGCAACAGCAGCAGCAGCAGCAGAAACACGACCCACAAGGGGAGGACGAGCAGCGAAGTTGGCTCTTCCACAGGACAAGGCGCCTTTCTACACAACACACAACACACACAACACACATAACACACACACACACTTACACAAAACATCCTCTCTCCCCCCTCCATCTGTGCCTTCCTCAGCCGACTTTCGCCCCCCCTCCCTCCTTCAATGCCACACGCCATGAACAAGTACAAGGTGGTGGGCGTGATCGGGGAGGGCGCATATGGCGTCGTGCTCAAGTGCATCGACACAAACACCAACAAGTACGTGGCCATCAAGAAGTTCAAGGAGTGCGACGACCCGGAGATCGAGGCCACCACCCTGCGCGAGCTGAAGATGCTCAAGCACCTCAAGCACCCAAACATCGTACAGCTCCTGGAGGCCTTTCGCAGAAAACACAAGCTCATCCTCGTGTTTGAGTACGTCAAGTGCAACCTGCTCGAGTTCCTGGACCAGTACCCGGGCGGCATGGACGAAGGGGAGGTGCTCAACTTCACCTTCCAGCTGCTGCTCGGCATCCACTGGTGCCACGTCCACAACGTCATCCACCGCGACATCAAGCCCGAGAACATCCTCGTCTCCAACAGCCACCAGATCAAGCTGTGCGACTTTGGGTTTGCGCGAAAGGCCGCTCCGGACGGCGCCGGGCAGACCACATATGTGGCCACGCGCTGGTACCGCCCGCCAGAGCTGCTCGTCGGCATGCCGTACTCGTTTGCCGTCGACATCTGGGCCATCGCCTGCATCATGGCGGAGATGGCGGATGGGCAGCCGCTGTTCCCGGGCGACAGCGACCTGGACCAGCTAGCCAAGATCCAGCTTGTGCTTGGTCCGCTCCCGCGCTGTCTTCGCCAATACCTCGGCGCCCACCCGTCGCTGCGAAAGGTGCGCATCCAGAACGCGCGGGCAAAGGAGACGCTTCGCTTCCGCTACAACGGCATCCTCTCGGACGCGTGCATCGGGTTTATGGAGCTGCTGCTGGACATGGACCCCAAGAACAGGCTGGACGCGTACCAGAGCAAGCAGGCTGCCATCTTCGACGGTGTTCGCTTCCTCGAGCCGCCAGACCAGCAGCAGTACCGCGGGTGCGTTGCGTCGCTCCCCTCACACGCGCCATCGTCCGCATCAGCATCATTCACCACCTCCGCATCCCGCCTGCCAACACGCGCTGCCGCTGGTGTTGTCGCAGCGCCACCGTCGTCGTCGTCGTCAACATCGTTTGCGTATCCCATCACAGACGCCCCTGCACCTTCATCTGGTGCCACATCAACATCCATGCACACATCCGCGCGCGCACAGTCGCAGTCGCAGTCGCAATTGCACTCCCGGAGAAGTAGCGGCAGCGTCACGAGCTTGAAGACAACACGCCGCCAGAAGCAACAACAACAACAGCAGCAGCAACAAGTACACAAACAGCAGCACCAATCACAACAGCCGCAACCGCTGCGAAAAGGATCAAAGTCGCGGCTGCGGCGGAAGAGCAACAGCAACGGCAGCAGCGATGCGAGCGCCACGAGTGCATCGGCCACAAGTACAGCAAGCAACAGCGGGCAACGCGGTGGTGGTGGCGGGAAGAAGCGCACGCAACAGAAACAAAAGCAGAGGCAGAGGAGGAAGAGCAGGGACAGCATCGCTGATGGCGGCAGTGGCGGCAGTGGTGGTGGTGGTGGTGGCGTGACCAAGGGCAAGGCTCGTGCTCGCGGTGTGAAGGACACACAACAACAACAACAACAACAACAACAACAACAACAACAACAACAACAACAACAACAACAACAACAACAACAACAACAACAACAACAACAACAACAACAGCAGCAGCAGCAGCAGCAGCAGCAGCAAGTGGTGGACGGAAAACGGCGGGGACTGGCGCGATGGACGCGCGGATGGGGCGGAGGACGAGAGAAGCGACGAAGTAGAAAGGAGAAGGAGAAGGAGTTGAAGGAAAAGCAGATGAAAGAAGTGAAGCAGATGAAAGAAGTGAAGGAACTGGAGGCGAAAGACACGACGGAGAAAGACACAACGGAGGATGAGAGGAAGGAAGGCAATGACGAGAAGCACGAAAAGACTGATGGTTTAGCACCCGCACTTGACGATGGCGATGATAATGGCCTTGGTGATGGTGGTGGTGATGCAACGCACAGCACCCGTGACGTGGCTGCCGTCACCTCTCCCTCTGAGCAGCAGCAACAGGAGCAAGAGGAGAAGAAGAATGACGAGCAACAGCAACAGCCGAGCGAACAGGCCGCTGCCGCAGCACATGTGTCCATTCCTCGCCCTACAGCCTGCGCTCCCACTACCAGCACGAAGACGGGCGCAACGGGCAATACCAAGGCCACCAAGCCGCCGGCATCGCCTGGCAGCGTTGATGCCGGGGCTGAAGGGGCTGCCCATCGCGGTGGTGACGCGAAGATCGACAGCATCAGCTCTGGCGGTGGCAGTGGTCGTCGTGGTCCCAGGGTGAAGCCTCTTCGTCGACAGGTGTCATCATCGTCACCGTTCCAGCGACAGTTGATGCAAGGGCAAGCCGGCAACATAACAGCAACAGCGACATCAGTTGCCACACCAACGTCAGTTGCCACACCTGCCACATCCGTTACGACAGCATCAACGACGCCGCCACCGCCATTGGTACAAGCGCCTCTGATACGGCGACCATCGCTCGCATCCAACCCGATCACTGCCATCAACGGCAGCAGCAGCGGTGGCGGTGGTGGCGTTGTTCCACCAGTTCCACGTCCGTTAATTCGCAGGAACAGCTCCCAACCGCAGTTACAGCAGCAACAACAACAGCAGCAGCAGCAGCAACAAGCGGTTGGTGGAGGGCTACT